GATACCCTTCAACGGAAGAGCGGTCCAAGGAGTGGGCAAGCGACGTGCTATATCTCTATGAATATCTTTCCGTTTCGTGTTTGTATAGCTTTGTTTGTTAGGGATGAATACAGAAGAATGGTAGGAAAAATTGCAGAAGATGATAATGGATTTTTTATGATAAATTATATTGTAACGGGAGTTTGTAATTATTTGCGTATTAAATCCTATCAAAAGATTATAATTTTCGTCATCGAAACTCGTTGAGAAAATAGAAGAAATCGTGCCATTGAAGCCGCTTTTTGATTCATCCCGATATCTCAATCGGTTGCCGAGATACAAGGATTCAAAGTTACCATGATATCTTAAGACAATGCAAGAGGTAGTGAATAGGCACGCCTATATTTTTTTCTTGGAAATGTGTACTACTTCCAGGAATCGCGTCTGTCACTTGTCTGCAGTTTGGGATAGGTCGGTGAGACGAAGTGCGAGCGAGAGGTCCGAATAAGCGACAAGGATGGGGATAGTAAACGATTAAAAATTACCTTTGTCTTTACACGACGATATCTCGGCAACCGGAAGTCGTATCGGGATAAATAAAAAAGGGTCTTAAAGAGCAAGATTACGCGCTTCTAATGGCTTTTCACTTGTTGACCGGGAGCTATTATCTTCGGAATTATAGCGGTTCAAATTTTTCCTAATTTTAATAAGATTTAATCGGATTTAAGGTAAACGATTAAAAATTACCTTCTCTTTAAACGACGATATCTCGGGAACCGAAAGTCGTATCGGGATAAATGAAAAAGCGTTTTAAAGAGCAAGATTTCACGCTTCTACCAGTCTTTTAACCATCGACTAAAAACTATTATCTTCGGAGTTGTAACGATTTGAATTTTCGTATAAATATAAGTTAGAAAATTGTAAATTGTCAGAAATTGATACGTATTGATCGAATCTAAAGAGAATGCGATAATTTCAACGAAAATGGAAAAAACAGTTAACGGTAACAATAGAAACGGAAACGATGGACAGTCTCGTAATACAGCTTCCTGACTATTCTATGTGTGCTCGAGTGGACGACGAGTCGTTCCTGGTAAAAGCGCATTGGCCACCATCTATTTATCCGGGTCTCCGATAATCGAGTTATAGCTGCTTTCTTTTCATTCGATTCAACCGACACCTCGAGATATCCTCGACACTTTCGAGGAGAGATCGACCACGTTTCGAGTGCAATTTATTAGAGAAACTCTCTCGCGTTCCGATGATTTCACCCCCACCTCCAAACTCGCAACCACCCGTGTTTGCCGAGAACGTTTGTTCTCTAAGCACGACTTTAGATTTTCCCTCTCCGACCATGTGCCAATTTTTACAACACTGTTCAGTTTCATTTCTCACGGAAAACATCGATTAAATTTAATCATCATCGATTCTTCTTCGATTCTTCGATTCGAATTAATATAAAATTCGGAATATCCTTACGTTAGATCCCTTAATTCTATCCATCGTCCATATCATTGAATATCATCATGTCACGAAACAAACAAAATTGACGATTCGATCCTGAGAATAATTCACAAGAAGATGGCGCGAAGGAAGGATAGTCTAGCTGGAAAAAGGCGAGAACGTGGCGGAAAAGGGGGTAAGCTGAATGTCGAGTTTTCAATCTGCCATTCTATCATTGACAATTTCGCGCAAATGGGATCGCGGTGCAAGGGCGTTGAAGCGTGCTCTCGGCGCACATTGGCGTTAAATAAGAGTAACCCAGCCAGCGCGCCGCCACGGCATAATTGCCTGTGAAATCACTAGATGGATTTTGCCTCCTTGTTCTGCATTTCCATCCTGTATTTTTGCAACGCCAAACTCCTCCCCCCGACCGTGCCTGCCCACGTAATTCCGGGATCGAAACGCAGCCCCGTCAAATTGTTTCGTATCGTCGTCGACCGCGAATGTGATTCGTCTGTGCATTCGGCGACCACCTTCCATGACGAAATTCCAATCTTTTCTGGATGGATTCCTTTAAGTTTTGAAATTTTCCCGAAGCGGATGGAAAATGGAATTTCACATGAACAGAGAATTATAATAGTATAACGCGATTACTTGGAATTTTTATTTTCGAAATATTGTTACGGTTGTCGTCATCAATTGTAATTAAAATAAAGATAATATCGAAAGTTAAAAATTTTATTCGTAGCTCGCTTAATTACGATTTCCTTTTTTATTTAATATCTAGAATCAATCTTTCAAAAATGAGCCCAAATTAACTATTCTAAGGCTATTATTCCATAGTTTGAAAACGATGGCATCATCTGACGCATTTTTATGAAATTCGTTCCTGCATTTGGATTCATTTCTGTTTAATTTCGTTTTGTCGAACGGAAACAAATCGCGATTGTTCGAGCATTCTTTTCTTTCGTCGCGATTCCCAGCACAAAGGTGGGCTACTTTGACCAGAGAAATGTATTTCCACGATTCGGTAATCGCCTTACCACAGATCGCCTTATCGTGTACCGGCCGCGAGATAGAGAGAAAGGGGACCGATGATGTAAAAGAAGAAGCACGCGAATCGAAACGTACGATTTTAAAATGGATTCTACGAAATAAGTTGAAAAAATTTGTAAATTTTGTAAAAGAACGACTCAATCAGAGGTTATCGAAATTTGTATCGAAAAGATATTGAAGATCCCTTGCCATTTTTTCCCCCTATAAAGAACCTAAAGAGTTAATGAAAAACGATTTAGAAGAAATTAAATTTGGATTACGATAGAATCTAAATTTAGAATTATTGAAAAATTGCGATACATATGTAAAAATTGCAATTTTCTCGAAGAGACAAATTCTCCGTTCGTAGCAACGGGGAAGACAAAACCGGGGACGATCAATCGGAGGTAAGAGAGGCTAGAAGAAAAGCGTAAACGAGAATGGGAGGTAGCGTAACAGCTGCGGGTCTGCTTAGCATAAAAATGGCCAATTATCCGGCTAACAAGCCGGCCGAGCGACGAAAACCTCGTGGAAACGCGGGGCTGGCTGGCTCCTAACTCCGTTAGCGCCTCCTCGCCTCCTGAAGGAGATTAGTTAGCGTAAATGCCGTCGGTCGTAGCATTTTTATTCCTGATTACCGTTTCTCGTCGTGCTAATCTCGTTACCTTGACATTCGAAAACTTGACTCTCCGTCCCTCTCTTCCATCACCCCCTACGCCATCCATCGCCACTTTTCTTCGACGTCGAGGGCGTCTTGAAGAAGAAGAAGAAGAAGAAGAGGAGGAGGAGGAGGAGGAGGAGGAAGAAAACGTCACAACGACGACGACGACGAGGAAGAAGAAGAAGAAGAAGAAACGTAGAGGCTTTCGAAAGGACACGGCGACAATGCCAACATGATTTCCAACAGGAATGAATGCCATCCTAATTCTTCCCCGAATAATCGCGAGTGCAAGTTTGTTTGCCTCCGCGTTCACCGGCTCTCTGTGTCGCGTAATGGCTTCTGATGAATGCCATGGGGAACTGGCAATGGAAACGTCTTTCATTTGGACTTTAACCGAGACGCTCAATTTTTTTGTCGCAGCAACGAAAGACGAATTGTTCGTATTTCTATTTTTCTAATATCGTCTAATAAAAATTTCACGCAACACTTAAACCTATTTCGAAACATTAATTACTTCACGAGTGAAGTAACTTCAATCGAATTTCACGAGACGCGCAAACGGACAAATAATTTCCACCAACAAATATTTTCTCAAAAAAGAAAAGCGACGAGTCGATTCGACTTTTGAAAAGAAAAAAAAAAAAAAAAAAAAAAAAAGATCGATATTCTCGCGTCTCGCGTCAACCGCCTATCGAAAAATCGAGAACCTCGAGCGTTTATATTTCAAAACGAGCGCGTAATTTGTTCGGAATCCGCTTATCCGCAGGCCTCGAAAACTATAAACCAGAAACACATGTCGACGCGGCGAGGGTGGTCGAGCGGGAGGGGGAGGGGGAGGGGGCGGTTAACCAGGCTGAAGCGGGAGGCAGCCGAAAGCTAGAGGCGGATGTCGCGCCGGGGCAAAGTTAAATTAAATCACGGGCGAAGGCAGCTAATATTGTAGTTTATCTGGCGGGACATTAGCGCGGTGAAATATGCGCCTCCTTCGCCTGGAACTTAAAATCAAGATCCACCGAAGTTCTCTCCGTTCTCTCTCTCTCTCTCTCTCTCTCTCTCTCTCTCTCTCTCTCTCTCTCTCTCTCTCTTTCTCTCGTCTCTCGCCACCACTCCGCCCCTTTCACCGTGCCTCGTACCCCGCCTCGCATGCGGCCACGTCCTTCCTGCTAAGTCGCGCATGAAAATACTAATTATTATACCGATTATTAATACGAAAAGTTCCGTGCCGCTGTACCCGCGCTGTTAAGCTTCCAGCATGGTGTGCAACGACCAGGAGGCTGCGAGTTTCTTGAGAGGCGAAGAAGGCATCCGGATTACGCTTATGCACGGTTATAACGAGGAAAACTCGGGGAAACCCCTCCATCCCATCCGTGTTCGTTCCGCGGATCAAAAGTCTCGCGTATATATATACGCGCGATAAAACAAAAGTTAGGGCAGGGCGCCACGGGTAGGTCTTTCACGAGATCTGGAAGCATTCTGGGTTTCAACGATCGTGGAGAATTTGATAATTTATCAATTTCGCAAATCATTCTCGATTTCCATAGATAGATTCGATAATGCTTCCATGCATGTTATTATTTGAAGTTGTGTGTCTGGAAAATATTAAGATACTGAGTAAGTTGTTAAAGTTTAACGGGGAAAGGAAGAAATAATTTGTATCTCTGTTTTTATGAATGAAGGATGAGATGTCGTAAATGATGTTTAATTTGTTTATAATCCTAAGAATTTGTTTATCCTAAGAATTGTGGAATATTGTTTAGGATTTTGATTCTTCGAAGGGATAAGAATTAATTCCAAAGATTTTTGTTTATAAAAATTTTACATAATTAGGTATTCAATTTATCAAAAATTATTACTAATAAAAGAATATTGAAACTTTCATTTATCGAGGATTTATTTTGAACAATAAGATTGTACTTCTTTGGAATCTTTTGTACTTATCAATGTACATGGATAAAAATAAAATATTTTTACTAATAAAGTAATTACAAAGACATACATCCTTCCCGAATATCGATTTTTTTGAGATTCGTTCTCCATAAATGAAACATAAATCTCACCATTCATGCCAAAGTAGCCTTCTGATTCTTCGTTATATCTTCCATAAAATTGTCATTCTTCGCAAATTTGGCGTAACTAAATTATGAAATTGTGACAAAGTTATTTAAAATTAAATTATTAAAAAATTATTGTCTTTCGCGAGGAAGACAATACTTACATCCTCTTGTACTTCTCTTTTTCGGCACGAGGCAAAGAGGGATGGGTAGAGTTGATGGAATCGATTAAATGTGTCTGAGAAACCTTAATGTCCTCCGCCTCGATCTTTCCGTCCTGGAACCAAGGTGAGAAGACAAGGCCATTAATTGGTAGGTTAAGCGAGGAACAGGCTGTAAGTCTGCTTATAGGCGTTATCGCTTATCAGTGAGACGCGTTCCTCTCGAAACGCGTCGCGCTCAGGAAACTCGCTCGCTAATTAGACGTACAGTTTGGATATTCGTGTTCTTCCGGTAGGCAAGTGCCGGTAGGTAACTTCGTTTTCTCCCTAGGAAGTTAATTAATGGCTCTAATCCCTTCGCCCTATCACGCACTCGATACCGTTAAGACGATTGTCGAAAACATCGTGGGTATCGAACGATTTTTACTTTTAACTTTTTACATTGAATGTAGTATAAAAAAAGTCTACTATTTTTTTCTTTTATCGTTTCAAAAATCATCTCCCATTAATCCTATATCAATCCAATATCCATCGAAATCCAAATATCCATAACTTTATTTTATAACATTCTATAACATTGTAGGTGTTAAAAAAATTTTTTCCACGATTAAATTCTGTAAAAAAGAATATCTTAAATATTCTATATCGTGGAGAGGAATTCGTCGCGAATCGTTCGATCGCGTGATCCAAACACCAGGGTGGCAACCCTGGGGGAGGGAAAGCCGGGTGTCTGCCTTTCGATTTTACAGGACCGCTGCAGGCCCTAAACCGTGTATCATTATAACGCATAAGATAATAACACCCTCGACGTTCAGCGAGGCGTAGGGCAGGATGAAGTGGAGCGAGATGGGGGATGGCTGGTGCTCTCGGCAGCGTGCGCTAATAAACCTGGTCTACGTTTCCTCAGTTATATCGCACCACACCTATCAACCTAGCTGGCTCGACACTCTATACACATACATAGGACAGAGGCGAGGGTGGGAGAGAGTATACACCTAACGATATTATCATCATTACGCACTATCTTACTTCGGAAGCTCCCTTACAAATGATTCTCGGCCGGAGTCGCGCCAAAATGCTTTTCATTATTTACAGAAGAGAGATACAAAACGGGCGATCGTTACGAACACAGTGGAATCGTTCTTTCCTTCACAGCGCGTGTATATACAATTCGTTTTACGTTTGCTTTCACGAGAATTTGAATATAATAGGTTTTGAAAAGAAGAGGAATATATTATATGCTGTAAACGTTTTGACAGAGAATAATTTTACTTACGGAAACGTTCGCAATCGCGTTCTCTAAGGCTGATAACCTGGCTTGGGTCAGCACGGCATTCAAATCCGCGCCGGTGAAGCCTGAGGTAAGCGTGGCCAGTTCTTTTAAATCCAATCCTGTCGTGTCTACTTTCTGTCTTTTGCAGAGAGCGGCCAAAATTTCCTCTCTGTCCGCCTGATTTGATTCGATAATTAATTTTTAAGTGGTCGAAACTCGCACTTTTTTTATACGAGTTCTCACATAGAAAAAGTTACGTGCCTCGTCCGGAAGAGGACAATACAACGCTTTGTCGAGACGTCCAGGTCTCAACAGGGCTGGATCCAGTAAATCTGGCCTTGAAGAGGCTGCCACAACCGCAACACCTTCTCTATCCTCGACTCCGTCCATTTGGGTTAATAATTGGTTCACCACTCTGTCGGTGACACCGGTACTATCGTGACCTCGCCTGGAATAAATTTATTTGTTAACGATCGATACAATTTATTTCGTCATCGTCAGAACTGATGCTTACCTTGGAGCGAGACTGTCGAATTCGTCGAAAAACAAGACGCACGGTTTGGCACGAAGAGCTCTGCAAATTTCATCATAAATGTATATTATGTATATTTGTATTTTGGATTGTATATTTTAATATCGTCGTTCCCCTCACCTCTCGAATACGTTTCTAACAGACTCCTCGCTAACACCGATGTATTTCGACAACAATTCCGGGCCCTAGATATTTATAATTAATTAATTTACAATTAAAATTATAGAGTTGATTAAAAATAAAAAAAATTGTTCGTACTTTAACGCTGATCAAATTAACACCGCATTCGTTGGCAATCGCTTTGGCCAGCAACGTTTTCCCTGTTCCCGGCATGCCGTATAATAAAATGCCATTTTGCAATTTGATAGGAGCATTCTTGAATATCTCAGGATATTTCAACGGCCACTGTAAAATCTCTACCAGAGATCTTTTCACGTCGGCCAGACCACCAATATCTGACCAAACGTGACCCATGCCTTTGTACAATTGCACGTCTTGTAGAGACATCGGCGTGTAATTCTTCAGGGCGACCTCCATGTCCTCTTCTTCGATCACGATGGGAGGCTTAGAGGAATCTTACGTATAAAAATTATTTTTAATATTAAAAATTACATTGTTGAAAAAAAAAATTAATAAGAAAAAAGTACACAATTCAAGAAGATATGTATTTTTTATTTGTTTACAATAAATCTTTTTTATTATTTCTTTGTGTGCGAAGCATATATTATAAAAGAAAAAGTATCAAAAGCACTTTTGCAAACATTTTCTTTTTATAATTTCGTAGCTCGCTGTAGAAGCATTGAAATTTAGTACATGTAATTATAGTAGATTTTATTACCGTGACGCTTCCAAGCAGCGAACGTAGCTTTCTTAGCCATATCCACGAGGTCTTGAAACACCCACCCCTCGGTCTTGTTTCCATAGTAATCCCAATTCACGTCTCCAGGCGTGTACAACTTATCTCCGAGCATTAATTGCAAAATATTGATTCTATCCACCTAATTGAGTAATACATAATTGTTATAATTGTTATATTAAGAACAATCTCATTTATTAAATTCGATGATTTTCTAACAGAGCGATAAATCTAAGTTAAACTTTCGTATTTTTTTTTACGTATTTTCTTTTCTTCTTCAAATTATAACTATCTATTAAAAGTCATAAGTTTCTGTGTGTGATCAACACGTTATATAATTTATCGATTTAATTATTTAATCATTTTTTACATATATAAAAATTTAATTTTTTCACAAAAAATTATGGATAAAAAAAGCAATCGATCAAATACCTTTTCTAGATTAGGAATAGATAAAACAGTCCTAAAAAAATGACAACCCCTAGCCGGCCTTAATTTCTGACCTATCCTGTTAATACTTGCACACGTTGCAATTATTGACACTTGATATGATTCTTGATATTGCATCACCGTGTTATTCAACATATCTGTTATCCTGACAACAAGAAATTTATATTGATTTTTTTAACTTTATCTAAAAAATAAAAGAAAGAAAGAAAGAAAAATACCTGGCAGCGTTTATAGCATCTGGTGTGTTCTCTTCGTCGTTCATTGATGCATTCGTTATGGCTTCTATATCGTCCAGAAATATTATCGAAGGTTGATAATAGACACATTCGGACAGAACAGCCATAATAATTTTTTGTAACATTTCTACTTTCTTCCCTATTTTATTATTATTAAAAAAATTAACATTACTTAAATATTCTTTATAAAAATCATTTATGATTTTGCGTTAAATAATTTACCTTTTAACGATCTACAATCAATCGTGTGAGTGTGCACGAAATATGGTGGACTTCGCATAATGTTCTCGATTATTTTGCAAATGGCAGTTTTGCCCGAACCAACCACGCCAGAAATTAAAATATTTTCAGGATTGTATTCGAAAGGTAATTGTGTTTGTAAGCCTAGACTGAGATCTAATGCTAGTTGACATTCCGTTAAAACTGTCGACAAATGACTGAAACAAAAAAAATAATATTTCTATCAGAAAATACAAAAAATATTAAAATAGATCTAGAATTTAAAAGAGATCTAGAATTTAAACTTTTAAATGGAAAGTACAGTTGAAATAACTTGTACAATTATACTTTTCTTTGCAAGAAGAACAATATTCATAATTGTATTCCTATATTGTGTATGCACATGATTGTAATAATTATATTTCTTTGCCCTAAAACTTTATTATTTTCGCTAATGATCATTTTTATAACTTTGTCATTTCAAAAGTATTTATTATATCATCTCTGGAGAAACACTTTTCAAATTCCATCTCTCTTTATTAAACGATCCCTCTTTGTTGACAATTTTCTATTGATAAAATTATTACTATTTAAAATTTATCATGGAACAAGACACATACAAAGAAAATTACCTCGTATACGTTTTTTCTAAACGAGAATATTCTTGATCCAACTTGTCAAACACTCGAAACTGATCCTTTTCCTCCACCGATCTCACACGCACCCTCGTATCCCTTAAAGTGGCCTCGTCGATCACGGCAAACTTGCAATCCTCCGGTGAAATTTTCACTATACAAGAACTTCTGTTATCCATTATAATAACAGCACAAGAATTAATCAACAATTTATTATGAAGGGAATACTTTTTAACGTAATCCTCGAAATCTTTCACCGACATCGAATCTCTCCACGAAAATAGTTCAAGGGAGGATGGTACAGATATTTCAGTTTTATCCATCAACGTTAAGCTCACCTTTGCGCCTACTTTTAAGTTCAAACTGATTCTCAAACTGTCCGACACGTACACGCTCTTGTGACGTAAATTAACGTTAAAATGTTCCTCGTTCAACGTGCTGGTTTTCTCTAACAAATCCTCCAAAATGTATACTCTCACTACCAATTCTGCAGAAAGATTTGGAACAGGGGACTCGTCTTTTACAAGGAAATTCGTGTTGGTTACGTTTACGTATTGCTTGTCCTCTGGAACTTTTTTTATACGAGCTATCCCAAAATTTTCCAAGAATTCTGGCGCTTGATCACTTGGAACGAACACGTGATAAGGACAATGCGCAATCTCGTCGAAGATATTTCCTTCGATCGTATCCATTTTAGGCATTGGATGGACACGACATATCGTGGGTAATTTTCTGTTGCGAAAACTATGCAACAGCTCGTAATTTCTGATCGCTTCGTCTTCCCTTTTCTTGATCGAATTTCGATCATTCGTAATTGGTAAAAATTTTTTGAAAGCCGAAAGCAAATTGTTCGCAATGTGGGATGTTTTCTTGCCATTTTCATTCGAATCGTCGTTCTTTTTATTCATTGTTGTATTGGCAACGTGTATTTCCGAAAATTGTTCGAGTTTGCCATATTTCACTGGTGGTTCCAGCGATTCTGTAAAGAAGAAACGATAGTATTCGATTTTTTTTTTTTTTTGAAATAAAAGAAGAAATGAAGAAAATAATATAACAAATCTTAATATAATAACTTGCCTACGATTAAGGTTACGTAAGAAAATCTTGAAACCCAAGTTACGATCGGTTGACCTTCTACTACCACTCGTATTTGACTAAGCAATGTAGATTGTACCTTTTCTATTTGTAGTTCCTGATAAAAAAATCCTGATTTTATTGTACACGATTATCAATATAGAAAAGTAAAATTTTGTTTCAACATTTTCTGAAACCTACCAAAATTTCTCTATCATTCGCGGTGAGAGGTGCGACGTTTATTTTTATTAAAATTGGAACATTCTTCACGAACGATACAATTACTTCGTCACCTTCTTCGATGTTCAAACTTCTTGCAAAAGTTGTACCAATGCACAAACTTTCATTAAGATTTGGCCTTACATTACATGACATGTAATGCGTTTTATCTTTATGAATTACTTTGATTACATTTTCCTGTAAAAAAAAATTTATAAAATTTTTCAATAAGCGAATAAAGCATTTTTGTTACAATGTCAAATTTTTTTTTTATATTTTCCAATTTCTTTCTCTTCTTTTAATGTGAATTGCTTATAATTTAATAAAACTTTTATTTTAAATTTTTGTTCTAGCTTTTCGAAAAAAATCAACCCTCCAAAAATATCTCAATAAATTAATTCTATATATACATACATACCTTATATTATGTATAATATATACATATACATATATTTATGACATATAAAAATGAATACATATATTTATGACATATAAATTCACATAAGATTTGAAAAAACAATAAAATTAATAAGAAAGAAAGGAAATAGTGAGAGAAGGATAAAGATATGATAAAAATAATAAAATCAGTACCATCTTTAGAATGCCGCAAAAGAAACACTTAAAGAAAGAATAAAAAGTATTAGAAAAAAAATAGAAAAAGAATAAGAACGGACTATTAGCGCTATCTTTTAAATGCTAAAGATAACTCTTCAAGTAAGAAAAATACAATAGAAGAATTAAAAATTATCGCCATCTTTTGAATATCTTTAAAAAAAAATATCTATGGTTCTCAAAAGATGGTGCTGGCGGTTTATTCTTATTCTATTCGGTTTATTTTTTCTTCTTATTTTTTTTTTCTATTCTTTTTTATATATTTCATTTGCAGCACTCTAAAGATAACGTTAATTTTAATACTTTTGCTATATTTCTGTTTTTTTCTCACTATTTCCTTTCCTTACCTAACTATTCTGAAAAATTTATGTATTCAAGAAGTAGCAATATATGATTAACTTTTTATTATCTTTTCTCTAATCTATTAATTAAAAATGTTGAAAATGACTTTAAAATAATAAAATTTGCATTTTAATGCAAAAAAAATGCATTGACTATTAAATTTATTCTGTCCATAATACACACAATCAATCCTCTTTTTTATCATAAAATGATAATAGAAATAATAGATAAAATTATTTTAATCAACAATGTACTTTTTAATTATAATTTATAATAAAGCAATATTATTATATAAATATAAATATACAATTATTGAAATATATGAGATCTTCTTTATCAACTTAGCTGAAGAAAAAATTAATCTCGACATCTAGTGACGTAATAAGATATCTAAAATCCAACGAGTTCCAAGTTCCAATTAACGTATTAAATTTTCTATCATTACATGTATAATCAGTGTAATATATGTTTTACGATGGACAATTTTTGATTGATTATAAGAACAAAGCACCAACCTTAATTTCCAATTTACGTAGCCAAGTATCCGGTAAATAAGCAAAACAATTATTCACTGTTATAAACTTAACAATAAAACGTTCACTTTGCATTCTCGTTCATAAAATTACAGACCAATGAGACTAAAATCCAGAATATACAAGAAGATATACACGTATAAAGAAAATATATGATAAATATTCGGTATGTAACAAAATTTCACAATATTAAAACAAAAATCATATTCAGTTAGGTTATTGAACACTGAGAGATGAAATACTTTTTGCGATACTTTTATGATTACACGATTAATTTAGATTTCTAGCTGAAGTTTTAAGCATGCTAATGTTTGGTTTAAAGTAAACGACTTAATACAGGTCAAAGGTTAATTTTAATTCTTTATTAAAAATATTAAATTCGATATATTTACCGATTCTTCATACTAAAAATATATCATTTAACATTGTAAATAATAAAAATTATTTATATGTATGCTATATATGTTTATTTATTAACAAATTGATATACGTATTGTATAATCTTATTGCAAACCAAGAACGTAAATAATTAATAAAATAATACTATTTTTTATTTAAAGTTATGTAAAATGTAATTTGTAATTAAGCATGCTCCATAATAAAGATTTATTAAAATTCTTATAAGTCATTAATTGCACAAAATATAAAAAACTTATATGGTTTAAACAATCGAAACTATATTCAATGATGTAAGTATATATTATTTTGCCGATAGGTGGTGTTCATTATTTCTACATTCCTGATTGGTTGTCATGAATCAGAGCACAACCAATCAGAGAAAGTACTAACAATAACTGTGATATTTTGAACGGCGTCAACTTCAGTTGCTCTGACGACATACAAATGAGCTGTACAGTAACGTATCGGTGGCAAAAGAATTTTATAAATGAGAAACATCCTTGAACCAGAGCACATCAAATTATAATTCTTCCAGTAGCTTCCAAGTAAATCAGAATATCTCATTTACTATCTGGAAATAATTTTCTATATAAAAACTTTAAACTTCCGTTTCGTATAAATTAGTGAAATTTTGGACCACTTTCTTCGTGATCGCGTGTGTTTATGGCAGTTGCAACGAATCAATCACTTCTATGTATTTTGTTATTTTCTCTTGTGCTATTATTTTCAAAGTCTGTGTTAATGATTTTGAACAACAGTGAAATCATGTCCTCGAATTTAGTTTAACGGTATATTCTTGCTGTATATTCCCGCCTTTTTTAACCACAAACACATTTCTTGAATTTGAGAATCAAAATTTGTGCAGAAAGAATGTAGATAAATTTCTTTTAATTTGTCACAGAAAATGTCTTTAATTTTTAAGAAAATTAATAAAACATTTTCTAAAATATTATAAAATTATATCAATTAGCAAATCAAGTAATTTATTAAATTATTAAATTTAAAATATAATTTTCTTTATAATTCTATAAAGATATGTAATATTCGATATATTACTAATAAAATTATATGTTTTATTATTAGATTTTCTTTAAAAAGATTAAGATTGAAATATTGTTCTAATAAATACATAGTGAAATATGATAATTTCAGAATAATTTTATACATTTTTCCGTCTTTTAATAAAAATAATAAAAACTAATTTTTAATTAAAATTATTTTTTATATTTATTATTTTAAGCACAATATCATTAATTTTTAATAAGAAATGGTCAAACATTTTCACTAATATTTAATAAAAATTTTTTCTTGATAATGAAACAGTTATTGATTGCATTCTTTGTAATATAGTGAAATAAATCTAATTAAATCTAATTTATTAAATTTTTTCTTTTTTAGAAGAAAAAAATCAAATTTTTTAATTTCAAGAATTTATGAGAATGGCACCATCAAAAATTTTAAATGTGCAAAATAAACAAAGTAGTACTAATGTAATAAGAAAAGGAATAACTACAAGAAGTCAAAATTCTGCATTAAATAATGTTTTACTTAAAGCACCTGCAAATAAAGAATCTCGTGTGAAAAGGAAAGCAGAAGCATCACCACCAAAGGAAAAAACAACAAAAAGATCTGCATTAGGAAATATTACCAATGTTTGTCATTTTTTTATTTTTTATTTTAATTTTTTCATTTTTTATGATATTAAATAATAATGCACATAAAATAATAGGCAATTGGAAAAACATTGGGTACACATCAAACACAAGAACCAAAGAAAGCAGTAAAAAAAACAACAGTTACTCAAATAAAATCCTTCACTCAGACAAGTTCTATTAGAACGCTTGAAAAAGGTGTAATTAAACCAGAGGTAATACCTCAGAAACCAAAGCCAGTGCCTCGTGTAAAACCAATAAAAAAGGACGAAGAAAAAACTGAAATACCTAGTAAAATTTTAAATGTTAGACGTAGTTTAGATTTAGAAAAGTCAGAGGACAGTTCTTTGTATGTAAGTGCATTAGAAGAAATAACAGATGATAGTACAAAGAAGTCCAGAAGAAGTAATATTCAGGTAAATAGTTTTAAATATTATATTTTTTTAAATTATGTAATTTTTTTCACTTTTTAATTTTTAAATATTTAAATAGCCTGAGGAACCTGAAAAAACAGAAGTAGGAAATGAATCAAATGAGCCTCAAGTACCTGCAAAAACTCAAGAAAGGTCAGCAGCTCAATTAGATGCTGCTCCTGAGCAAATATTGCCAGAAGGAGTTCAGTGGGATTTTGATGCAGAAAATTGGTTAGATCCATTTCAAGTCTCTCATTATGCCATGGACATTTTCAATTACTTAAAAAGTAGAGAACATTTATTTCCTATTGGAGATTATATGGAAAGACAAGTATGTCTTTCGCCATGGATGAGAGCCTTACTAGTTGATTGGATGGTAGAAGTTCAAGAATCTTTTGAACTTAATCATGAAACTTTATATTTGGCTGTGAAATTAGTTGATCTATATTTGACAAAAGTAACTGTTGTAAAAGAAACATTACAATTATTAGGTGCTGCAAGTCTTTTCATAGCAAGTAAATATGATGTTAGTATTCAAAATTAAATGTATAATTTTTATTCTAAAAAAGATTAAATTTTTCCGAGGTTATTTATGTGATGATTTTTATAGGAAAGAATTCCTCCAATGGTGGAAGATTTTTTGTATATATGTGATGGTGCTTATAAGCAAAGAGCATTAATTAGAATGGAAATGAGTATATTAAAAGTAGTTGATTTTGATCTTGGCATACCTCTCTCTTATCGATTTCTTAGACGATATGCTAGGGTGAGTTATGTAAATAATACATTTTTTTTAAATATTACAGTATAATTTTATATTACAATATAAAAAAAATTAATATTCAAATTATTTTTAAACAGTGTGCAAAAGTTTCAATGCCAACATTAACTTTAGCTCGATATATTTTGGAGTATTCATTAATGGATTACTCGACGATAAGGATTAGTGATAGTAAAATAGCTGCAGCTGCACTTTTACTTGCATTACGAATGAAAGATTTAGGAGGGTGGACTTCAACTCTAGAGTATTATAGTGGATATAAAGTTGATGACATACGAGATATCGTACATCTTTTAAACCAAGGATTACATCGAAAAGAAACTCTTACTACTGTACGTAATAAGTACAGTCATAAGTAAGTATATAAATACTTCATTTAACATTTACATAATTATATACAATAAAATAATATTTCAAATAATTTTCATTCTAGGATATTTTTTGAAGTAGCAAAGCTGCCATTAAAAGATACTTTAGATATATAAATAATTTAAATAAGGAAATATAGTTGACAGTATGCAAGATTGCCTAATCATTGATAGGTAATCTGTAATAAAATTTGTGAAGAATTAAAATGATCACTGAGCGTTAATTTATAAATCAAGATAACTGTTAATTTATGTCATAATGAAATCATAATAAGTAAATCTTTAAATTATCTATTATCTATGCACCACAAAAAATCAAACGACTGTGAAGCTCAGTTTGAATTTAATATATCCAAAAGGACCGAAAAATATTATAATTTTTTTTCTCTTTTTCTTTTTTCTTTTTTTTTCTTTTTTTAATTATTTATACAACATTAGTAATCTCTATCTACAACAGTATTTGTAAGTTAATTTTTTTTTTTTTTTTTTTTTTTTGTTGAAAAATTTATTTTAGCGTCTCATTTTTATATTCTATAAAAATTCTCATAAAAAAAATTAATATCGTCAAAATAGTTTTATGCATGTAAAGATTAAAAATGAATCTTTTACTCATAATTTTTTACTTATATATAATGCTATTATATGATGCCTTTGATTCAATGAATACGTACATACAAATATCAATAAATGAAATTAATGAATTATGCGGCGCTCATATTTTAATGAGTCGTATAGGTTGTGGCGTATTGTTATGCATTGTTATTGCATTTTATAGACTGATAAATTGTATGCTCCTAAGAATAGTTACATACCGATAAATATAATACGTTTTTGCTCATTACACAGTATAAAATTAATAATATTAAAAAAAAATTTCTTTCTTATAAAAATTAAACAAATTTAAATATTTTGTATCAACAAATTGCATGAAATTAATAAGTTTAAATATATAAATATATATATGTAATTTATAGAAGAATTAATTTTTCATTACATGTCATTATATATGACATCATATTTATTCATTATCTTAATTAGTTGCATACAATACAAATATAATGAAGTGATCTATTTTTTTGAACTTTACTCGTGTCATAGTAACTACTCGTGCCTATTAATAAATATGGCATTTTTTTTTATATATATATATATACATAAATATACATATATATATATATATATATATACAAAATACCACCTGTGATATAAATATATTCAAATATTTGGTATAATCAAACTCGTCAAAATTTTCTCATAAACAATATTTATACAAGTTACATTACCTAGCAATTAGAAAAGAATTATTATCTAGAACTTTTCTTAGAAAAATATGTTATATCAAGAGAGTAATTGTACATATAGATCACAATTATCGATGTGTACATATTTTTAACAATTATTAGGTCAAATTTAAAGTGATTCCTTTACAATAAAAATTTATCATATAGAAATATTGTACGGTTCTAGGACTTATTGAAATTAGGTGGTGTACATAATATCATTATATTTTTGTACCAGCAATAAATGTATTATTATCTATTATTTTGTAAGATGTGTGTATGTGAACCATTGTAAACAAAATGTATGTAATTTAATAAAATCAAAAAAGATTTTTAATTTTTGTCTATTCTTTTTTATTATATTGCTGTAGTACCTAATATAAAATATAATATCCGAAAGACATATTAAAAATATTTTTAAAAAATAAAACAATATTAAATTTTGATATTTTATTATAAACTTCGATTGTATTAACATTTATAAATAAACATTGCATACTTTCAATCATGACGGGAACCAGGTACAGCATTTATGACTATTATATTTTTTCCAGTACAAAGGTAACATTTTTATAAATCATTATACTTAAAATATTATTGCCATTTTACAATTATTATTTGTAACATGCAATAAATTATTTTTAATTTTATTAAATTATCTTAAAAGTCTAAATAATTAAGATTCATAGTTAAAAAATAAAAGCAAAATATAAATACTTCAAATAACATGATACATATTTACATTATTTTAACAATGAAATAATTTATGTTATTTAAATTAAAAATTTTATAAATAAGTCATAAATTATCTCTATTTTTCTGATAACAAAATACGTAATAATTGATGGATAAATAATATATGAAATACGTAAAATAATAGATAAATTTAAAAATAAAGTTACAATTATTTTAAATATCACATTTTTTTCTCAGTCTTTACTATATTTCCCGTATATTAAATAAATTTTTGTATAAAATACTATACTTCCAAATTTCAAGCAATATTTTTTCTATATTTTATATATAATTAACAACATATGCTTGATAAATGATTTGATAATTTTGTAATTCAAATTTACTTATTATTTAACAATTTAATTATATATTAAATATGATAAATAAAAACCAAATTTGGGAATATCTGATTTTTTTATAAACTTTTTATATCTGATTTAAATAAATTTTAAATTATACATTCGATACTCATAGGTAAAGATATGACGCAAAACAATTTTGCTATATGTCAAAATTGTTCTCTAGATATTCGTCTAGCACGTAAACGAATGCAGCGCGGACAATCTATCTTATTAAAATTTTGCTTACATTCGTTATGAAAACATGCACCGCACATTTCACATCTATTAACTTTTGAGAATTCCCATGGAAATATGACATCTTTGGAATAACATAATTCGCATACAAATCCCCTAGCTTGGCATAACTAAAAGTAAGATCAATTCTTATTAAAGATATGCATATCTAATCTAAATCAATTTTAATATTACCTCACAGCCCATAATATGCATATTACACATTTGAACTAATTCTTGTAGTCTCATTGGTAAAATACCATACTTAACATGCATCAAATCTTGAATAGAATATATATGAGGTTCGCTTATTATATAATTTGGTTCTTTTTTTAAGATATCTTGAACACTAAAAAAAAAATAATAAATTTTAAAATATTATTTTATAAAATAATTAAAAAAGATAAATACAAATATGCAACAAATAAAAAAATAACAAATACCTTGTTGCGAATCGACAGGTAAATAGAAAATCTTTAAAGAAAAATAATTGTGAACGTAATAGTCTTGTCTTAGCTAATTGTTTTATGCGTCTATATAACAATGGATTCAAGTCATTTATTTGAAATAATGGATCTGATGTCATTTGATCCAATAATCTATATGAAAAGTTTGATACAGGATATCTAAATGGAAAAACAATTAATATTGTAATATATAATATATAATATAATTTTATATAAATATATAAATAACATTAGTTTCTTACCTATTAAAATCCCATTTAGATAAAATCTTTCCTGGTATTAATGCTACTTGATTGGTATGGCATCCAGTACAGAAATATCTACCTAAATACTCACAATAACGAAATTTATTTGCATATTTTATTGCAACTTTCATTCCACATCCTGCACATTTATAATTCTGTTTAGCTATAAGAGTGCGTCGCCTATAAGAAATATCAAATTTAATTAAAAAATTATACAATATATTTTAATTTTATATATATATATATATATATATATATTTTAAACTCATAAACTTACACTGGTGGAGGATGTGATGTAAAAATAATTTGAGGCCTTGGTGGAGCCCAATCTGTAGTTCCACGCAAAGGAATTGATTGTGAATTTTCTGCATCATCTGGATTAATTGGCCAACTTTTTGGTAACGGTAATAATCTTTGTGGTACATCTATTTCAGAAACCAGCCATTGTAATTCGCTTGCTCTCGGTAATTGTTTTTCACTAAATTTGCTAAGAAGTGATAAAGCTACTCCTTCTGCAGACATGCTACTTTCCGTTAATGTTGATTCTGTTTCATGAGCAGGGGATGATTGATATAAATCTGCATCGGAATATAAGGATGCCATAGATATAGAAATCCCAGCATTCTTAAGTTTTATTGCATTTCGCTCGTCATCTACTTCTAAATCCTCTATATCATCAGTGGATATATTTTCTGATGGAGTATCAGATGAGGTTGATAATGGACTAACACTTTGATCAGTAGTAGTCGTATCCGTTTTGCCATCGCTTAATAACTCGCGGTTCCACGTTCTTCTTTTACATCGCTCTTCTTGTCGTTGACGGCGTCTTAATCGTATTCTTTGTTTTAAGCTATTTATTTCTTCATCGCTTTCTTCAATTGCTTCTTCCATAAGACGCCATTGTCTATTACATTTTACTTGTTCAATGGCAGCTATCATGGCTTCAGAAATACTGAAATGTGCGTTTTCTCTATCCAATTCAGCATTTGCTCTGGAAAATTGTGCAGATGCTAAGAAATTTGTTAAACTTTGACCTTCTATTGGACATGGAAAATATCCTATTGCCATAGGTTGAACACTGCTTCCACCATCTTCCATAAAAGTTTTCTTTGGTGTTCTTATATCTTTTTGTCCTTCAATTTCTAAATTCCATGGATTAATGAATTCAGGTGCTGATCCTGGTAAAAAAGAAGTTTTTCTTCTTGGTTTTTGTGATATTTCTATTTCAGTAGAATTTGTATTATATATATTTGAACTCGTTTCATTTGGTATAAGAGATGGAATTCGATATTCCTTTACTGTATTTATTGATATATCTTCATTATTTAATGCATCAGAATCTTCATTAGATTTCTTTATATATTGAGTTTCTTTCATTTTAGTTTTATTTTTTATTTTCCTTATGGGAGTTCTTGGTTTTATAAGTAATTTATTATCTATAACTGTTGATGTTGAATGTTTTAACTCAGCATAATTTACATTAATTATTTTTGATAATTCAACAGAAGATGTTTGAGAATCATGATTTTTATGTGAACTATTATTTGCCATATATGATGAAGATATAGAAACATTTTTTTCTAGAGTTATACAATTTTTAGTTAATGCTGAGAGACTACTCCAACTTTTTAAAGGTATATCATTAATTTCTTTAGGATCTGATATTTTATCTTGAATTTTTTCATCAGATCTAACATCATGTTGCATATTATTATCTGAAGCTATTTTTAATGATTCTAATTGACATTTTTCAACATGTACAATTTTATCTCTTGCATTAAAATTTATAGTTGAAAAATTTATTGGATATGAAGAAGATCTACGATGTTTTTTTTGATTTATTTTAGGAGCAATCCAAAAAGGTAAAAACTAAAAAAAATATATTAAATAAAAAAAAAAATCAAAATATAGAAATCATATACAGATAAAAAAATATACAATAAAATTTGTTTTACTTACCAAGGATGGATCAATTTCTGTAAGTAATATAGGTTGATTTCTTTCAACTGCTCTTAAACATAATAATGTAGCTTCAGCTAAATTTTCTTGACATAAAAATGCCCATGGTTCAAAACAAGAAAATAAATGTTCCTTATCAGACAAAAGCCATGAAAGTTTGTGTGACAAAGAATGATTTTCCAAACTATATTATAATAATTAAATTATATTATAATTATAATAATTATTAAATTATGTATAAATTTATAATATGAATTGTTCGATAATTTATTTAAGCATATTAAATGAAAATATTTATTATAAAACATTCAAATATTTTTTATAATTACCTTTTGTATAACCATAACATATCTTTATGTGCTGTGATTCGAGTTGGTAAATTTGAGAGATAATCTTCTGTATCAGAAACAACAGGTGATAATGCAACAGAAGGCTGCAGCCAATTTAATCCTTGAATAAAAATCCAACAATCTGGTTCTCCCTAATATATTTTATTAATTTTAATTTTTTTTTAACACTAATATTACATTATTTATTATTTTGTGTGCAAATAAAAATACAATAAAAATAAATAAAAACATCAATTGTTTAAATATAAGAGATATAAACAATAAAACATTCTCAAAACAAAAAAATTAATATATTATAGTCAATGTAAACAAACAATTATAACAGAGAATAGAATTATATTACCTTTTTAGAAAAAAATTCTATTTTGTGAAATAATACAGAGAAAAAAATAAAATATAATTACAAATATAATTACAAATATAAATAAATTATAGAATTGTAAAAGCGAAAACGATGTAAAGAAAATGTTATCTTACATTTCGATTAAATATTCGACAGCCATGTTTGAATATTCGTTCCATTACATTGTGAAGACGATTTAAACCACCATAAACATTCCATACGTTTAAAACACCATCAACTAATAAACCTTCTACAATAGATCGAAGACTTTGTAAAAGTTGCCATTGCTCTTTGATGTGGGCGTCTCCACACATAGTGACTATTAGAAATCATTCACTTTATATTTTAACTAGTTCTTTAATGAATTATTTTTTGTTACGTCATAAAATATTTTGAACAAGTCATTAATTATTATATACAAACATTATATACAGGTATTAGAAAACATTGCTTATGCTATGGTTGATATTTTTCGAATTAATTTCAAAAGACATTATTTGAAAGTTATATCATTATAGTAAAGCTGTTATATATTTATACGTTATCTTTTAACGTAGATAAAATCACGTAACTTCATTTTTTTATTTGATCTTACTAATAATTCATAAATGATTTAGAAAGCATTCGAAAGTATACTATATAAATGTTATACTACATGAACATAGAATAACACAAATGACATTGATATTAGGTTAGAAATTAGTGTACGCGCAGTGCGTAAACCGTTAAGTCTAAATTGCTAGAAACATCGAAATCCTGTGGCGGTCTCTAACGGCAACTTATAAAAACTATCAAGAATATAATAAAATCAATCGAAAAAAATTGAATATAGTTGTCATTCAATCTATTAAATCATATAAATTTTTCAAACTATACAATAGAAATAAAATTTTTATATTCACAATGTATATCACATTTTTAATACTCAATTTTGACTATTATATTATATTATTAAAAAGGGTTCCAAAAATACTACATTATAATTACATATATGTATTTCAGAAGTGTACCCACAATTTTGAATTCTTCACAGATAAGATATAAACTCATACAATGCAAAGTCAAATATTTAATTGTAATTTCATTCGCAAATTAAGGTCTTTAGCAGCAAAGACTGCTGGTCTTAAAACAAGAAAAAATATTAAAAGTAATCTATTTAATTTAATAATTGATAATTTTTTTAATTTGATAAAGCTGAATTTTTTAAAGCTGAGATCTTATAAATGACAATGCCAGTATATACAATAGAATAAAAACTGAATATTTTAAAAGATTAAAATCACACTAAGTGTACAATGCAATCTGTGAATGGTAAATATATTTTTAGTGACTTTTAACTCTAATAATAATTATTAATAGATAAGTCTTGAACGAAATATATTTTTCTTTCCATTTTTTTTGCAATCAGAAAAAATTATGGAAAGTAAAAATATTTAGCAAAACTTCCATCGATTTCCACATTCATTGCATAACACAAAAGTAGTCATAGGTTCATCAGCTGAGCGTGTTTGCACTTGATTGTAAGTACAATTTCGTTTTTTGCACTTTCCACATTTTAATAGATCAGTTTTCGTTCCTTGCACTGTAGCAAGTTGTGCATCATTGATTGCCTCCTTTTTAAACTGTTCTCTTAATTGTTTTATTTCATCGCTTGCCATTTCTTCTGCAGTCATAACAGCAAGCCTAGCAGGTGTAATAGCACCAGCAATAAAATTCGTTCGAAGATTAGGATTTTTTATATCACGTAAATTAGCAACTCTACTTCGTACCTAGACAATAAAAAGCATATAATTAAATTATAATAAAATATAAAATTTATAATAAAATACAAAAATATATTGAAAAAATAAAAGTTTACCCTATTTTTATATCTATTATCAGTATTTTTAAATTCTGCATAAATTGCTTCTTCCAATTCTTCTGCTAATTCTTCTGGAGTAGCACAGCCTTCAATTGTGTTTCCATCTACTCTTAGAGCTGCTGCCAGCAATTCCCTACATTTAAGTCTTACAGCATCCGTTGTTGTAGGAGCAGGAAATGTTGACTGTTTTCTCTGATTATCTTTATGAGGTTTTTCTTCTTTCATTTTGACATCACTTCCATCTGCATTATCCTTATCTTTTTTTTGATCTCCATCATCTTTATTTTTCTCTGATTTATCATCTTTTTTTTTTGAACTACTTGAAGAAGTAGAATCTTTTTCTTTATTAGATCCTGTAAAAAAAATATATATAATATAATTATAATATATAATTTTATTTCACATAATTATCTATTAAAATTTTATGAAAAAATTTATTATATTTATAATATTTTATTTATATAGATTTATTTTTTTACCAGATAAAAATTTTTTCCAGTTTTTAATAAGTGTTTTAGATAATGATATAACTTCTTCATCTCTACTTGATTTTCTTAATGCATTTACTGTCATTCCAATTCGTGTCTTTGTCAATAATTCTAAATCAACTGGTAATTTTTGTAATATTTTAAGTAATTCCAATGCTTGTTCTTGTCCCTGTAATGAAAAAACTTTTTTTTGATATAAAAAAATACAAAATACATATAATTCATTCATATATTTTTCACAATATATAATCATAATGTATAATCATTTTTCATAATCATAACTACTAAATAAGTATATTATATTTAAATAATTTTGCAAATTTACAGTACTAATATAATTAATTTAAACTCAAAATATTATATTTTATCATATTATCATTTTTTATATAATAATAAATATATTACAATTATGTCTTTTATAATTATTAAAATATACATAAACAACTTCATTCAATGATGTAAGTTATAACTTTTTAAAACGATATTTAGCATAAACAATCGAATTATAAAATTTATATTGAATTAATGTAATTAAAGATTTTAATTACATATTCAATGCTCATATAAATAAAAAGATTTATAGCCCATTTTGATAAATTTTTACATTTTGGTAAAATAAAAAAATGATCTAACTTTGGCAATGTTATATGAACGCATTAAAATTAGTGTACCAGATATTAAAGCTCTATAACACATTGTAAAAGCTACAGTTAATATCAATTGTTTGTGTCAATAAAATATTCATACGAATAAACATTTATTTTTTCAAAAAAAATTCGAATGATAATAGATTCATATTTATTCACATTTACACAATATAATCGTACTTTATAATATTGGAAAAGAGCTTTATTAAGCCTCCAATATGCCGAGCGGGATACACAACTATATTTTACTCACTTACTCACCGTCCCGTCACCGCTCGACATCTTGTTCAATTTCTTTTGGATTCGTAAGACTTCTTCTTCAGCACTCATTATGAAAATTTTGTAGTTTTTACACAGAAAACCAATATAAACACATACAACACACCAAGCGAATGAACAACAAACCCCGAGTACGTTTGTAACCGAAACTTGCGATGCAGAGTTCGATACTGGATAGGTAACTCGTAACCATAATATACTAAGGTTACAGTTATTGTATGTTATTACAGTGACATCTTTTGAAAATAAAATGATATACAAAGTGTGGGAATATTTAAATATTTTATAGGAAACTATTTTTTTGATTTTTGTAATGAAAATGTATTAATGTATAAAATACATTACATAATACATTACATTATATAATACATATATAATGTATAATGTATAATAAAAATTTTTAAATAATATTCTCTTTTTTTATTTCGATATACTAATATTATATATATTAGTATATCGAAATAATAAAGTTTTATTTAAAATATTTTCCATTGCTATAAAAATATTAACAATTTTGAAAAATTATATTAGAAATAATACATTTAAATTATTTATTAAAAAAATATTTTTAAATTATTTATTATTTAAATTATTTATAAAATTATTTAAAAAATTAAATTATTAAAATATTTTTTTAAATTTTAAATAAGTATTTTTTTTAAATAAGTAAAAAGTTTTTCTTGAAATAAATAAAAAAGTTTTTAAATAAATAAAAAAGAAAACACACTGTTAGAAATTTTTATATATATTGGAATTTTTTTATAATTACAAATTCAGAATTACAACATAAAAATTTTATTATTTGAAATTATTTTGAAATATTCATAAAAAATATTTGTTTCTTTATCACCCGATTACAAATATTGTTCTACAATTCAAAATAAACTTTGAAAAAAATTTAAACGTCAATCAAAAGTTTTATCTACATTGCACTTTTTTAAATAACTTACTGTATAGAAAATTACGTAATAAATAGCTACATATAATGATGACTTATGATGGGAAACAAAAATATGGCGTTACATTTACTTCGTCAATCATGACAACTATTCTCATTAAAAATATATAAAATTTTTTAAAATTTTATAACACTATATTCACTTTAACTTTATAAAGAACAATTTTTATAAACCATTCTTAGTAGATCAGTATTAGATAAACATTACGGCTATACATATTTTTGTCAATTCAAATTTCTACCATAGCTAAAAAAAGTCTAATAGTATGAAATCAATTCAATGCATATCTTATTATTTTATTTTATGATATAAAATTTATAATTATGAATATAATATGAATATAACAAAATTAAATTATAAGGAAAATAAATATTTCATTAATAAATATTTCAACTTATATTATTTGTATATTAAAATTAACAATAATAATAATAAAATATAATTAGTATCATTTTAGAAGTTATATAATAATTTTGAAATAGAAATAATTTTTATGAAATTGCAAAAGAAATATTGTATTATTTATTCAATTAATAGTAACTTTATATATCTATATTATTTAGTGTTTCAGAAAAATGGAAAATACAAAAGCACTGTGTTTAATATTTCTTATTATAAAACTTTTAAAAAATATCTAAAGTTTTTGGGACAGTATCCAAATCAATCACGATGGAACAAGGAATTTAATACAAATGTGATGATATGCAGTTTAATAAGTTTTTTAATTCCAGGGGTAAGTGAAAAGATTGCAGTTGCTTAAATATATATACAAATTTCAATGAAATAGATAAAAACATGTTATGAATATAATTTAATTTAACTAAATAATATTATGATATAATAAAAACTTTTTATTCGATAGCTGTCACGAGTTTACACATCAATTGTAGAAAAGAACTTGAATGCTTTGATGGAAATTATACCCATAGTGTTTGCAACAATAAGTTGTGCAATAAAATTGCTAAATCATAGAATTAATAAGAAAAATGTATTTATTTATTTAACTTCATGAAAAATTCTATGGTGAAAACAAAAATCATAGAATACAAATATATTTTTCAGTTTGATAAACTGTTCGATCTTATGTCAGAAGAATGGGAAATGAAAAATGATAAAAATCAAGCATGTATTCTTGATGAATTTACTAAACAGGGAAATAAATTTGCCGAAATATATAAAAGTAATTGTGATAGATCATTTTTAAATGAATTTTGTACATCCTACATATTAGGATATTTCTTACATATTAATTATCTTAAATAATTTTTTAATTGTTATTAATATTATTTTTAGATGTTTTATTGTCAGCTTTGCTACTATTTTTATTACTTCCATTGTTTCCTTCGTTTTTGGATATTGTTTTCCCGCTTAATAAAACTCGCCAACAATTACAAATATTTAAAATGAAATATTTTGTAAACGAAGATCAATACTTTTATCCTATTTATTTTCATTCAGTTTGGGGTTCATTTGTAATTATAATGATTACTGTCACTATAGATTCATTATATATGCTTATCATACATCATGCTTCCGGTTTATTTGCTATGTGCGGGTAAGTAAAATAATATAAGAGAAATACTTTCTGTGGATAATATTATATTGTAAAAAATAATTTCATAAGATTCTAATTTGGTATATTATCTGTAAAAAATAATGAAAA